TGGTGGTGTGATAAAAAGAGCCCTAGACTTCCATTATTAGTCCTGCTTCCTTTACTTACTCTTTGTGTGATTTCAGCAACTTCTTCATCTCACTGAACCCTGGGCCTCAGTTTCCTCCTCGGTAAAATGGGAATAGTATATTTATCTCACAGGACTATTATACTTATTAAACAAAGATTTATAGAGGGGCGCTTAAACTCTCAAATGTTGCATTGAATAGTCTAAGGTCATTCAGTAAATTTGGAAGTGTACAAAGGGCAGGAATGTACAGTAGATGTTGACCACTGTTTTTGTGTTTGGTAGATTAAACAAGATAAAATGATTTAAAACTACCAAATGAAGGACTTAGATTAACAATAGTGAAGGAATTCCAGATTGAAGTTGTTAAGTGATGGATTTGGATTATTAAAAGTAGAGTTTCCTTCTATGGAAATGTTTTTTTAAAAACACATCTGAGTTTAGAATCTTTTTTGAATGACTGGATGACTTTACAAGTATCTGTAGGAAATGCAAGAGAACTCACTGCTGAGAGAGGATAAGAATTAAAGTCAATTTAGGGCGCCTGGGTGGCTCAGTTGGTTAAGCGACTGCCTTCGGCTCAGGTCATGATCCTGGAGTCCCTGGATTGAGTCCCGCATCGGGCTCCCTGCTCGGCAGGGAGTCTGCTTCTCCCTCTGACCCTCCCCCCTCTCATGGGCTCTCTCTCAAATAAATAAATAAAATCTTTAAAAAAAAAAAAAAAGAATTAAAGTCAATTTAGCTAGAGCTACACCATTCCAGTTTGGTAGCCACTAGCCATGTTGTGGCTATGAGCCTTTGAAATACGGCTGGTCCAAATTTAGATGTGCCATAAATGTAAAACACGACCAGATCTCAAAGCCTTAGTACAGAAAAGAAACATATTTATAATTTTAGTATGATCATATGTTAAATATTACTTTGGATATATTAGATTGCATAAAATATGTTATTAAAATAAATTTCGCTTCTTTCTTTTTACTTTTTATAAATGTGGCTACTGGAAAATTTTAAATTATGTATGTGGCTCATGTTATACTTCTGTTGGACAGTGCTGATCTAAAGAATGGCTCTGTGCAAGCTAACTCTTAAATTTAGATCCTTTTAAGTTTGGATATTGAGGTCAAGATTGCTACTCTAATATTAAGAATGTCAGAAATCGTTTCTTCAATCCTATTTGTAAATACCCAAATTAGTTTTGACCCATGGTCACATTAACTTGTTGCAGAATTGTAGTACTCTGTAAGTGGCATCCAACTCTTAAAAAATGGTGAGAAAGATTCTCCTGTCACAAGAACAACTAGTAGTAGAATGAATAATACTTTCCAGGAAACTCCGTTTTATTTATTTTTTTAAGATGTTATTTTTAAGTAATCTCCTAACGTGGGGCTCAAACTCATGACCCCAAGATTAAGAGTCAGTCACATGCCTCACCGACTGAGCCAGCCAGACGCCCCAGGAAACTTCTTTTTAAAAGAGACCACCTGAAATGGTTTCCTTAACTCTCCCTTGCTTGAGGAACAGACTGGAGAGGTCGAGCCTGCAGGGCAGAGTTGTTTTACTGTTGGACGCCCAAAGTTCTTAGGAAACTGGTAGTGGTGGTGGTAGTACTCATATATAGCAGATTGATTTAATTTAAGTGTGTTTCTCCAATCACGGTCAGAAAACTAAACATTACTTTCCATAGTATTAGTGCCCCTTTTAAAGGGAAATAAATGGATTATTATAGGCACATAGTTAAATATCAGAGCACTGAACATAGAAATAGATTATTTTTTAAACCTTTTAAATGTCAAAGATTACAAATACAAATACAAAATGAAAAGATACAAGGAACTGTGGAGAGAATTACCAGTTATTATGGACAAAGGACTTTAAAACAGCCATGGTAACTCCGTCAGGTCACTCACAGGAATGTTCTGTGCTAGTTATCTCAGAGCAGTTAATCACAACTTCAAATCATTATCACCTACTTTTGAATTCCTTACCACTCTGCCTCATGAGTTGATTTGTAGGAAAATGCTATTTTTAGTTTGCTCTATCAGCAAGGACTTAATAGCACTTAATAAATACATCTTTAGTTCTTATTCACATCTAAAAACAAGCATTCTGAATTTAATACTCCTGGAATCCACAGTTTGAATGCTTATATAATGCATTTGTGTTTTTCAAACCATGATTTTCCATTTGGGCTATTTAATATACCCATTTAATCAATATTTGAATTATGGAAAATGGTGCCATAATTATCCGAGATGTAAGCCATCTTTTGCATCATTGCCTTTATAATTTCAAATATCTTTTTATGTTGTTAGTTTTGTGCTGCTCAGTGCTCTGCTTTTTAGTTCCTGAAATGCCAGATCCAGTGATGTTTAAATTGCTTTAGTCTTTGATGGGAGGGTCTGCGGCAATTCTGCCTTCATTTTGAGGGTGGGTAGATGATGAGAGACTAGGCCAGGAGCATGTTCAGCTGTATACCAAGCAGAAATGCGCAGGTCCGGTGAGAGGGGTCTTTAGAGAAGCTGCTTCTACTTGCAGTCCTTTGGTACAAGAGATGTGGCACATGGCAAAGTGAGTGTGGAAGTTGCAACACACTATAGTTACCTGAAAGGGGCAAAATTAAAAATAAACGTTAAAATGGGTAATAAAACTCCTGAGCTTTTCATAAAAGCTGGAGGCAGAACATTCTTGAAGGAGGAGGGGAAAAAAAAAAAAACCTGCAGGTATCTGATTTATGTCTCCTGGCTTCAGCCTGGCTTTCTAGCACACTTGTCAAAAGCCTTCCTCACACTTAGGACTTCTCTACACAAAACCCACACCTGATTCACACCTCTCCTCTCCTGCAGGACCTTCCCAAGCACTTTTGGAGCTGGAGACCATCTTTCATGTGCCTCTGACCTCTTGCTTTCCCACGAACACTGAGCCACCCTGCCCCTCAGCCCCGCAGTGTTACATTCTGCACACTCCTTCCACGCCCATTTTTTCTTTTTTTTTTTCTTAAGATTTATTTATTTTAAGGAGAGAGCGTGAGCAAATGGGAGGAGGGGCAGAGGGAGAGGGAGAGAGAAAATCTCAAGCAGGCTCCCCGCTGAGCACAGAGCCTGATGCAGGGCTCCATCTCAGGACCCTGAGATCATGACCTGAGCCAAAGAGCCACTGGCGCATTCTTTCATGGGAATCTTACCGCTGCCCCCTGAAGGCGATTGAGTAGACCTTGCAGGTCCTGCATCACCTATGACCTGCCCCATTTCATCTGCAGTAAGGAAGGCATTTGTAGAGGGTAACAGTCAGCCGGCAAGTGACAGACCCGGCACCGAGTTTCCAGCTGTAGATCCCATGGGCTTTTCATCACTGCCACTTACACAGTGTTCCCTTTAAAACAGCAAAAACAGAAAAATCAAACCTTCTTTGACTTTGCTGTTCCTTTCCTACAGCCAGATTCTTCTAATTTGATCATGTCTAAACCTGGCATGGCATTGTGGAAGGACTGCTGACTTTGGAGTTGGACAGGCCAAGGCTCAGACCTCCCGGTTGTGGTAGCTATGTGATCTTGAACACATTTCTAAGCCTTAGCTTCCTAACCTGTAAAGTATCTACCTCGCAGGGTTGTTGGCTCAGCAAGGATAATGACTCTATTAAGTACTTAGCCCAGTGAGAAACATGATAAATTTTAATCTGTTAGTACATAATTGTCTCCTGCATACCGACTTCAAACCTGACCTCTCCACAGAACTTGATCTTGCCCAGAATGCTAATGGTATTTTCTGGCTGACTCTTACAGCCTTTCCTTAGCCTTTTCCAACTACTCATGCCTTAATTCCCTCTATTCCCTTGACTTTCTTAATATTGTATTATTCTTCCTTTTCCGGTGGCTTCTCTTTTGTCTAATTTACTGACTTCTTTTCCTCATTCTACCCTTACATAAGTCTTCCATGGTTCAATCTGCAGCGATTGCTCTTATTGACAAGGCTAAGTTGAATTAATAAATCAGAGAGGAAATAACATTATCTCTTTTGCTTCGTGTAGTACATCCTCAGCCTTGGCTCTTCATCTGTTTGCCTTCTACTTCCAAATATAAAAATGTCACATTAGATTTTATTCACCTGCAAACAGGTAAAACTCCAGCACTATTAACACAGGAAGGCTTTAGTTATCTTGTTTCATGTGGACATGGCAAGTGATACCTATGCCCAAAATGTGTTTGTACAATGATGATGATGATATGAACGGTCTTATTTTCCAAATAATATTCTGTAACTTATGCAGTAGTCTTACCTACATTGTCTGAATTTGTTCTTCTGAGTAGTGTCCTGAATTATCAAAGTTTTATAGATGATGTAAAATAAATTTCTGACTTTGATGCTGGGTGGGAGCAGTGCCTTTACTGTGTAAATGATACTGTTTTTTGCCCTTTATTCCATATAATTTCCCTGGTGTGTATCTGTAAATGCTAGATTTTAGGCTAAAGAATAGACAACATATTCTTATCCAATTTAGGGAAGACTAAGAAAATGAGGTACAATTCAAAACAGCAAATTGAGTTGTTTATTATTACCAGATCAAGAAAGTTATAAATTTTGAGACTTGATTATAAGAGTTTGGGGAAAGTATTTGTGCTATTTACATTTCTTATTAATAAAAGCTGGGCACCTGGCTGGCTCAGTCGGTAGAGCATGCAACTCTTGATCTCAGGGCCATGAGTTCAAGCCCCACGCTGGGCATAGAGCCTAATTACTTAAATAAATAAAAATAAGAGCTGACTCTGTAATATATATAGATAGATTTAGACTAGCAAAAAATGAAAAAGTTATATTGTCAAAGATTTTAAAGGGTAAAAAGTTAAGCTTAGCTTAAATGGGGGATTTCATCTCTTTAGTTAGAGAAGTCTTCATGTTACCATAGATCACATCCATTCATTCATCATTCACTCTGATTGTCTTTTGTTCTTACCTAACAAAGTATGTCCTGTGTTTGTTTTGCAGATCTAAAGCGGGAAGCCAGTATCTGTCATATGCTGAAACATCCCCACATTGTAGAGTTATTGGAGACATATAGCTCAGATGGAATGCTTTACATGGTTTTTGAATTGTGAGTGTACATTTTATTTTCTTAAGGGTTAAAGTTTTAAGCAGTGCTGGTTTGGGATAATGCTAACACTTTTAAAATTTAACAGTAGTTGTGAGCTCATCTGTTTAAAAAAAGTAACAAGAATAAAAGAATTATCTCATCTTAAGGTTCACAATGGCTAAGGAAGCAAAAGTTGGGCATATTTAGTTACCTTCATTTTTAGTATACTTCAGAGAAGAGGCTGTAGAGAGAAAGAGTTCAGATGAATGGCAGGCCCCAAAATACAAAATTCTGACCATAGGAGTCTTATTGAAGAAGACTGAGTTAGGAGTAGAGGTCTCCATGTAGCAAGCCTCTCTGGCAACTAAAAACAAGTAATAACAGATTTGACTTCCTATTTTGATATAATTACCACATTGGCATATTAAGGAAATTCTGTAGATAACAGTGTATCTGATTTTAATAAGCCACTTGACATGTTTGCCATAGAATTTTTGTCATAAGATGGAGAAATGTGAGCTAAGGATAGTATAACTGGGTAGTTTGTAGCTAATGGGATGATTGTGTCCAAAGAGACTGTATAAAGCTTTATGGGATGGCATCCTATTCTTTAAAATTTTCTTCCATGACTTTGATTAGGGTCTCTCACAAGGTGGTAATCGAGGCATTGGCCAGGACTGGAGTCATTTTAAGACTCCAGTGGGGATGGATTTGCTTCCAAGCTCACTCACATGGTTGTTGGCAGCAGCCTACTGGACTGAGAGCCTTAGTTCCTCATGAGCCATTGGCCTAGGCTTCCCTGGGTTCCTTGTCACCGGGCCTCTCCATATGGAAGTCAGCCTTGTAACCTAATCTCAGAAATCATACACCATCACTTCTACCATATTCTGTTAGTTAGAAGTAAGTCCCCAGATCCAGCCCACACATAAGGGGAGAGGATTACACAAGGGTGTGAACACCAGGAGATATTGGTCATCCTTGGGAGCCGTGTAAGACGCTGCCCCCCCCCC